GCGGCGGTAGAATGGTCATGTTGTCTGCCCATCACGCACAAGCAGCATCACTGAGAGGCTGCCTGCAGGACAACAGCAACAGCAAGGCATTCTGGGTGGAGGTGATTATTTGGGGACGCGGGGAGTGGCTGTGTGGATGAGAGGGCTCTGAGAATAAAACGGAATATTTAAATACGGTTCATAGCGAAGCACGAGGATGAGCCTGCACAGACGTGGACACATGACTCGGAGAAATCCTCGTTTTTGTTTTTTTTGTGGGATAGAAAATGAAGTCCAACGACCATTTTTCTGGGAGTTATAAATATTTCACTTATAAATATTTATACCAACGATGGTGCATCAGTTTTGCCTGGAGAAAAACATTAGTCAGTGATCTGTGCTTAAGTTTGATATTCCCCTTACTGCAAAGCATCACATAATAAAGTGCAGGACGGTGTTTTAGAGGCAACTGGATTCAACCTGATCAGTGATGAAGCAGAGTCAAGTCTGTATGAGTGAGTTGTAAAGATGAACGTTCATTAAGAAAAGTAACATCAAGCCTCTGCAGTAGAGGAGGACGTACTGGAGTCCATAATTAATAGAGCTACCACAGTATTAAATACTCTATTACAAGCAGTAATCCTGGGTAACTCTGGGCAGCCCAACATACAAAAATGGATGAAAACTTAATAAACAACATTTCAGAAATTGTAAATTGGTAAAAATGGCCCTAACAATCTTAATTTAACATTCTGACAAGGCAAAAATACAACTTTTTAAACGGACCACCCTGCATTCGTTATTGTGAAGTTTATCATACTTGCTATGAAGAGATGTTGTAGAAAGTAAATAAACAAGTTTGAGCTTTTACAAAAAAGATTTACATTCTTAGCCACAATCTCAAGTAAGTGTAACAATAGATAAAAAGATAGAGATATAGATAGATAGATATATGGATAGATAGATAGATAGATAGATAGATAGATAGATGGATAGATAGATAGATAGATAGATAGATGGATAGATAGATAGATGGATAGATAGATGGATAGATAGATGGATAGATAGATAGATAGATACTCAGGCAGGACCATTATCTCTTGCTCAGAGAGTGTGATATATTGCAGTGAGTGTAATTGAAACACAGAGTTATAAAGAGAGCATATGTCGCCTCTTGGGAAACATGTTTTGGTGCACGGGTGTAGAAAATGTAGCTGAGCAACGTGTAATTGGTCCATGCAGAAAAGATGAGGCTGTGTGAGAAGGCAGGCTATTTGTTCCGATGCTGTTCAAGTCAAGCTAATTAACTTCAGTCAGACGTGCTTTGCCGTCAACATCCTCTGGCTTTAACAATGGATCCCATATCATCAGATCCCCACTGTTGTTTGTCTTCCCAAGTTTATTTCACTATGTGCTGAAAGAAGGTGACATCTGTTACTATATGCTTTCATTTGATACGTCATACGTGAGCATCATATGGAATTATATAACAACTTACTTCTTGTAATATTACAACTTTATTCTCGTAAAATTACAACTTTATTTTTTAAAACTTTGCAAATACTACATTGCATATACGTAGTGCTACAATTCTGGAGAATTGTAGAAAATGTTAACCGGCACCATTTATTCAGAGCTTGCATTATTTAATTAATCACATGATTAATTTTTGATCACGAGAGGGTTTCCTAACGATTCCTGTACCTACATACTGCTGTGTAAAACTTAGCCAGGGACATGAGGGACATTCTTAATATTTTAAAACCTAAAATTAAATATTTAGTCACTAAATAATGAAGTCGCGACTCGCCGTGTCTGATTTTATTTTGTGTTGGATTTTCCCAGCGGAGAACATACAATGAGAGTCCCTGTTGATTATCTCACTTACAGGTCTGTGCCTCATTGTTTTCAGTCAATAGCCGTGAGTAATGGACTCCTTTAACACCTTCATTTTCTGACTTTGAAAAGGTTCCCCGGGGGAATAATGCGAGCCCCCGTAGTTAATTTTAGTCGGATATCTTCGAACACGCAGCGTCATTGTTTTGCATAATGTCCATGAATAATGGACCTGCCTCAGCGCCTTGTCTTGTAGGTGTAGTCTCCGAGAAGGACCGAGTGGAAGCTGAAAATCCCATTTTGGGATTGCCATGAGAGTTCACCTGCCTGTCAGGAGCAGCATGTTGTGGTCCGCTGTTACCGTCTGAATTAAGGGTGCGTCGCCCTCAGTGTGTGTGTGTGTGTGTGTGTGTGTGTGTGTCTCCCTATCATCCCCCTCCAAAGGTCACGCAGGCCGACAGTAACAACGGGCAGTCTGGTGACAGCTGTATTTGGAAGGTCAGGAATCATCTGTCTGTTTTTGGAAAAGGGCAGAGGAGTCAGAAAGGGAATGACACCGTGTGAGAATTTGTGATGATTGAGGGGAGTTAGTGTATTTCACTTTATCTACTTTAAACATATAGGTGCTAAGATACTTCCTCATTAAACTCCCTTGAGAATAGGAAGAAAACTGAACTGCACAGGATTTCAAAATTGAGGAAATATCTTTTGTGGAGTACAAGTGCCAAAATATTTCGTTCCTCCGTTTGATTCCAGCTTCCAAAGAGTCGTCACAGTCTGACCTTATCACTGAGGTATCACTCCGCCTTGTTCATGTGCTTCAGAAGACATCCAGCTGATGTACTGACCTTCTGTCGGCCATGTTGGAGGTCCCCAGCCTCTGAGTGAGCGCTGCAGTGCTGTGAATAGCTGGTGGTTTATTAAGTGTCTGACTAAATGGTGTTTAAAAGTGGTTAGTCTCTGATTCGACAAGAAAAAATCCATGGATTTGGTTAAAAAGAGAGACTTGATATCTTTGAGTGTGCTTGACTGAATTTCCTGGAACTGTTGAGCCTTGGTGGAGGTATTTGCTCCTGAGTGCCATTCTGTCACTCTTGAAAATGAGATTTCTGTCTCGCTGGGACTTCATTTCCTTGATTCATTAGGCTAAATAATGTCAGCCGTTAAACTTATCGGTGCATATGGTAAAAATAAAAACATTTGCCCTGAGCCATAACTCTTCAGAAGAAATCAGCCTCTGTAGCAGATGCAGAAATCTTGTTTTGTTCCTGATCGGTGTCAAGTTTAAAACACAAAAGCTTCAGTTGTTCAAACTTTGGTTAATATGACTCATTATTGTTAATACCTCTCGGCTCTGACCTTGTCACGCCCCCTCACTTTTTTGTGGGAGTGACAGATGCTGACAGAGAGCGAGTCTAGATCCTCACCTCGTCACTCCCCTCGCTCCGACCTTGTCATTTATCATCATTACTCGGCCGACTCCCTGCCCTCACTTCCTTATGGGAAGTGAAAGTGTGGACTCATGACCTGCTCTGTCCTCACAAGGCAGTGAGGATGTAGTGGAGGTGACGAGGATACCTTAATAACGCATTCAAGACTCGTAGGCTGCGGGTGGATGCTGGGGTGGAGGTCGGGCTCATATAGAATAAGAGAAAGTTAGAGCTTTCAGGCGAAAGCTGTGACACGAGGGGAAGCAGCAGGTTTGAGTTCTCAGCCATTATGTTACTGTTGCTGATCCCAAACCCCCCCAGGGTCACGGGGGTGCTGCTCTCAGGAGCTGTGTACCAATCAGTTCCATTCCTTTCAATCTAGAGCCAGAGCTCTGGTTGTGGCAATGTTTCGTTATATTTCAAAATAAAAGGCTTCCTAAAGGGGGAAACCCCAGATAATCATTAAAAGTGGTTTGTGTTTGGAACAGGGTTATATTAGGCTACATCATATTTCATATAATGGATATTTATTGAGCTAAAGGAATCAAATAAATGAGAGAAGCATCACGACCATCCTGAAGTGGCGAACAGAGGTGTGGCACCATGTGGCGTAATGAAATTACAGATAAAGTGAAGATCAACTTTTCTTGTTTTGTTGCAGAATTTCAGCTGTCCCTGTTTTTGATTATCGATATAAAGACTTCCCCCATTTTTCTTCAATATTCATGTATTAACTCCTGAATCATTTATCCAGTTTTAGAAAAGAACGTATTAACGTTTTATTTCAATTAACATCTGGTAATGTTGATGGAGGAGAAGTGGTTAGTGCCTCACTGCAGGAAGGTGGTTTGAATTTCGATGTGGACTTGGTGTCTTTCCATGTTTGCATGTTCTCTCTGCGTCTGCGTGGGTTTTCTCCACTTGAAGCTGATGAGCTGATAAAGGACGGTTGTGTTGTCAGCTGTCAGCAAATCTTACATCTGTCTCAAATCAAGATAAACGCTATTAATCTGAGATTCAAACACAAAGGAGATCAATGAGTGCCGATCTCTGTCAGCTATATTTTCCGCAGTTATATTTAGCCTTTGTTTTGATGCCAGTTCCCTAGAGGAACATGAAGCCTCCAGTCTTAGGGTCGGGTGGTCACATCGGTAACTTAAACACTTGGATTTCAGCTCTGACCACAGCAGCAACTGCAGTAAAACCTGATTCACAACACCTCTTCTACACAACAATAAAAAATAGAAATTGATTCTAGGTCTGTTTTTCAGAATATAACTAAAAGACTGGATCCGCTCGCTCACTCACTGATTTGACTGGCTCGTGCACTGCAAAGAGCTAAAATAAAGCTCACCTCTTGAAACATCTGTGTTCTTTTTAATGATCTCAGCCCTATTTCAACTTGTTTTACCTGATTGAAAATCCAGACTCAGCACCCTCGTTCTACAATTAGAAGAGAGGAGGTCACTGCTGAGGAGGAGAAGAAAAGAAATGCCATGAAGTAAACAGTTTGAGAGATGCTGTAACTGAATTTCCATATCAAAAGCATAATGTGCATTTGAGTGTTTCCACTGAGTGCTGCGGTGCTGTCGGACTCTCTTTGATGTGGACACATTTGTGTTCAAACAAACACATTATCGGCTCCACTGGAAGGACTCGACTGAGGCTGCTCAGAGCACAGACTTCCCGCACATCTCTGGACCGCTCTGAAAAAGGGTTCAGATCAGTATATCGACTCTGCTTCTCTCTCCCCAGGAGTACCAGATCGATATCATCTTCGCCCAGACCTGGGTGGACACGCGTCTGCGGTATAACAGCAGCAGCATGCGGATTCTAACCCTCAACAGGTACATACTCAATCCCTGTGTGTGGCGTTCATACCTGATAATTACAGCAACTATTGTGTTTCAACATTTTCACACTGTGAACATCTCATTCGAGAACAGTATTCTTCTCTCTCTCAGGAAGAAGCTTGTAATTAATGGAATAAATTAATTGTTGTGCTTTGTTCCCCTGTGCCGCCCCTGTTATTTTATTAACCTCTTATTGGGGAGCGGTGCTGCTTTGTGTTTTTCATAGAAATCTCAGGGAATTCAGCAGCAATCATCACTGATTTCCTGCTTTTCAGCTCACTCTTGTTTTTCATTCAACCAGCAATATGGTCGGTTTGATCTGGCTGCCTGACACCATCTTCAGGAATTCCAAGACTGCGGACTCTCACTGGATAACGACACCCAATCAGCTGCTGCGGATCTGGAACAACGGAAAAATACTCTACACACTGAGGTAAATAAGTAAACCTGAATCGCTTGATTTCTTCACAGGAGTCAGTGAGAACATCAGTTTGGAGCAAAGGTCTGACAAACTGACTGGTGGCTGTCGGCAGAAGTTCACGCGGTTGCAGTGATTTCACTGCGAGAACAAAAGTATCAATAAAAGCTCTCGGTTGAGTGTTAATTAGCTTCGGCCAAATAGAATGAACTCTAAAGGCTTCCACCATGTTTCTAACGCTGACCATGAATTATTGTTGTAACATCCAGTTTGAGTTGAAACTGTTTCATAGATTGAACTGATGTCCACTTAAAACAAATTAAAAAAGCCTCCTGTGAACAGCAGCTGACAGCAACTCAGTGGTAGAGAAATGACACACCGGGGGAGGTTGTGCATGTGTGTCCTTGTGAGAGCATGAAAAGAAGAAATAACTGCTCTCAGGACTCGAGTGGACAGGCTCTTTTTAAACTTGAGTGGCATCTGGGTTTATGAACCCTCAAGGTCTGACATGAGCTTTTTCTGTCTTGAGGATCCAATTTTACCTGCGTGTCCAGGATTTTCAAACTAAACCTCGGCCAAATAGAGAATATCACCACGAGTGTTTGTTTTCAGCCCCCGTGCACAGCTCCCTCTGCATCAGGAGGGCTCAGGTTCTGTCAGGAGGAGGCGAATAAATAAATAAATCCAATCAAAGTGTGCTAAAATGACAGGCGAGCTAAAATGTAAGGCTTCTCTCTGAGCATTTTTATGACTGGCAGAATTGACAGGAGATATTGATGCTTCATATTCGGAGCAAGTGGAAATGAGGCTTTACAGCTACTATTTCTAAATGTAAGAAGCAAAAGGGCTTAATATATAAAAATCTTCACATTATTACTTAAAATAATAGAATAATGTAACTAACAATTACAGGGGAATGATTCGATCTGTTGCAGAAGTTAATAACACTGAAGCATACGTTGAATATGTATCCCCATGGATTCAGCATTTCTCCACTAAAGCATCTGCACTGATCAATATTTTTGGATGTGATGAATGTGAGTAATACTGAAAGGGGTCGCTCTTAGTGAAGGACCCACAGAGAAGAGATTTCCTCCCAGTGCTGCACTTCCCCCTCAGCTCTGTGTAGCGTATCTGCCTCAGTTCAGCTCATTGTCTTTGGTTTTCTCATCAACATTGTTTCCAGCTGCAGCAGCCAGTGACATGAGAAAGCCCTGATAAGCCTGTTATGTGCTGTCTGACCCGCACCGAATGGCAGCGGCACGAACACCGCAGCTGAATGTATTGGCATTTAGCCGGCTAACGAAAGAGAGGGAGAGCAAACACATGGACTGAGGGTTATCGCTAACGTTAGGTGATAATATGTCAATACTCCGTTTTTAGGTAAAAAAATATACCGCAAAAAATTCTGCACCAAGATTTTCTTTACTTACTTTAAAAATAAATGATCTGCATGTTTTTGTTATATGGATTCTAAATGTTGTATATTGGCTTATACAGCTGTTGCTAAAGAAAGATGTCTCATATTTATGACTCTAGTTTGAATCTGTGTTGAACTTACATCTTCAGCAATAAAGACAAAACCTATTTTTCCAGCGCCCAACACAGCTGTTGAGGGAGTGACTTCAAAAGATCCGTACACGATGAAGAAAGACACAAACTCCTCTGAAGAAATCCCTCTTCACAGCCACAAACTCCCCCCAAAATGTCTGGGTGTTAATGGCTAATTTCACTCCTTCTAAAGCGTGCCTCTGTGATGAATCTGAAAATTATTGTTTCATTAAAAGGATATTAAGTCCTGAGGAGGCGCATGTTTGGGGGCGTATTCGCCAGATCACTCGCTTCTGCTGTGTTTGTTGCTGCTCGCTCTCCTCACATCAGCTCCTCAGACTCGCCTCCATTACGGCGCCCTGGCCGCTGACAAGGATGCAGGCGAGCGTCTATATGCAAATTACAGCAAGACATCATCTGCACTTTGCTCACCAACAAACAAGATGAGTGAGGCAGCTCCTGCTTTGATTGAAACTCGGCTTTTGTCCTCCAACTCAGCCAATTAATGAGAGTGAATGAATTTGAATCAGGAACAAAGAAACACTCATTTTAAATGATGGTTTCATTCTTACAGACATTTTTGCATCCTGGGTAAATTGATTATTAGAATCACACGGTTTATTAAAATATTTTCTTAGATTCAGGTTTATGTTTCGAATGTCAAACAGATCCCCATGTCTTTGCTTCTCTAGAACATCTGGTGCCTTGACTTGTCCAGTGATCATAACTAAATTCTCCTGTCCTTAGAAGCGTCCATGCCCCTGGGCCCTGACCTATAACTTAATGCCATCTTTGCAAAAAAAAAAGAAAAAACCCACATCTGCTGCTGATGATTAAACAGTTCTGTCATTTTGAGGGATTTCACACATCAAACAAGCAACCGAGTGTGATCCTGCACCATCTGGTTTGAAGCCAGCGCTTTTCATTCTGTGGCGCAAAAAAAAAATAAAGTGCATTATGTGATATAAGCAATGATGAATACCGAGCACTCGCACCGTGTGCTTCACGGACCGCGAAATGAAGGATCTGAAGCATTTTCAGTGCCTTGAATGTCATTGTCTAAGTGTCTGTGCCTGTGTGTTTCTCTCCTTCTCCAGGATGACCATCAACGCAGAATGCCAGCTGCAACTCCATAATTTCCCAATGGACGAACACTCCTGTCCTCTCGTCTTCTCCAGCTGTGAATATTGGCAATGAGCGCACACACAAATGCACGCACACAGCCAAATATGCACATTTTCATGCATAGCAATGCCCATACATGCAACACCTGCCAGGGGTTGATGGATTTAAATAAAAAGCAGATGAGTAAAAAGTTAAGTCGATGTGAAACGCTACAGAGAACCCCAGCAGGGAGGAGTGTAGCAGCAGATAAAGTCATGAAAATTGCTCTTTCAGGTGGTTTGAGCTGGAAACACACCTGTGAGATGCAGACATTTGGGAGGTCATGGGGATGGGTGAGCCCCCGTTTCAGTGGGAATCACTGATTGGGGGATTCGGGATTTCCTGGACAAGAATTCCTCCCATTTTATTTATTTATTGGGGCGATGTCATGTTTTTCAGATGCTGATTAAGGTGAAGAGACGACACAGTATGGAGCTTTTGTTTAAGGAATAAAAGACTTGTTCATCCCATAAGAGGAAGGAAATATTAGTTAAATAGCTTTTTGTCGCAGCTCAGTAAGAATTAGTAGAAGAGTTTGGGGAGATTCTAAGAAAAACGTTTCAATATTTTCGGCTACTTCTGTCATATTGGTTTATTTAAGTTTATGTCTAAAACCCACCTCTGCCGAGGAGGTTATGTTTTCACTGGCGCTTGTTTGTCAGATTGTTACTTAGCAGGATTGCACAAAAACTACTGAACTGTTATGAGATTTTGTGGAGGGGTGGAGCACGACCCCAGGAGGAACCCAATTTTTTCAGCTTCTTTATCAAAGCGAGAAAGAGCATTAGTGTTGGTGGAGGTGTGCGCTGTCCGCCCTTCTAGATATGTCATGTCTCCTCTCGGGTTGTGTGTAGCAGTTGAGCTGCGTGTGTGTGCAAAAGGTTCTTTTCAATGTGTTTAGAGACATTTCCCATAAACCCGAGAGCGAATCAAACAAACCGACTCCCCTGTATTTCACACCCAGATATTATCTAGATTGGATTTGATTTAATTCAAAGTTTTACAGAAAGGTTATTTGTCATCAGTGCCTATTTTTGTCTGCATATTTTTAACATTTCTCCTATGGACGGGGGCACAGGGAGTAGGGCTGCCTCCCACTGACTCAGATGAATTAGTAGAGCCTCCGTAGTCTCTAATGAATAAGCATAGAGCAATATATATATATATATATAAAGAAAAATACTCAAAATTACATTTTGGTTTTGAGGCAATAATTTGAGGCACCAGGCTGCACTCACTGACCTCCATGTGTTATCTTAATGCATTCAATGGACAGACCTGCATGAGTCCCCATGACAACAATAACTATTGTTCCATTAACCATCACATCCTTGTTATTTAACCCATTACCTAAAAAGCACCAAAATCTCATTAGATTGCATTTGACAGGACATTCTATCAGACCAGACATTCACATTGTCTGAAATAATTTAATTATGGTAATAATCATTACCTGTAGATGTCAGTATTTGTCATTCGCCATTAATAATGGCCTCTATTGAGCTAATATTAGTTTGCTCACAGCGTGACCTGAGTGGATGTAGTGAAAGAGCTATCGACTGTAAATGGACTTCAGTTATGTCTCAGCTCTTTGGAATGATTGGCAGTACTAACCCCTGCCATGCTTTGAAACGACAAGAGCTTCTGCATATGATGTTATCTTCGTATTGAACCGCACGCATGAGTCAACTTTTCCTGACAATGTACAGCTCTCGAAGTTCCAAAGAAACCACCTCCATCAATATAACACAAGATGCTGTTCAATGCAAACGGAAAGAGCATAAAGCAACTGAGCAGCAAGTGTTTGGACTCGGGTCGCCTCCGTCTGCTTTGCATGAACATGTTACACATTTCATGGCAGATGGTTTGCGAGATGAAGATCTGCTGAGGAGGAGGAGAGAGCAGCAGACCAGAGGCGACTTATAATCTCTCTGAGTCATTGTACACCAGGGTGAGATCTGATAACCAAGCTGCAATTGGCCTTCGCTTTTTTTGCCGGTGTCTAAACACATAATCCTTTCTTACACACTGTAACCCCCACTGCTCTCTCTCTCTCTCCCTGTTAATGTATTGTGATATTGTAGAAGCCTAATGCACAAGGCTTTCAAAAACTTTCTTTCTCTACATCGTGAAGCAAATTAGAAGTCTGCCCATTACGGCTGCAATCAATTTCATTCATCGAGAAAGAACATTATAAAAACGCTGAATGCTATGATGGTCCCTCTCATCTTTCTCATCAATTCTGATTTCTTTTTTCTTGAAAGCAGGCGTCATCCTGATGGGCACCATGAAAGAAATCTGACAGTCTGAAAGCATGTTTTGAATTCACAGCTTTGTTTTCTCAGTAACTGTATATGCACTGCACAGAATCAAAAACTCTGACGACTGGTGAGTTCAGGATAAACGCCTTTTGACTATGATTACAGGCACTTTGTCCACAATATATTGGTATTAACTTAACATGTTCACTGCACATACGTTTAAAGTAGTCATGTGCTTAATGTCACATCTTCAATACCATTTCTTTGGCTTCTTGTCGATTAGATTACAGCCTCAGGGTGAAATGGATTAATGAGCAATTACTCAGAGCGGTTATCTTAAAAACTCCAAGTCAATTTCAGTCTGATGTGATGCTGCAGAATGAAGACTAATGGGGAAGTGGCTTCGCAGGTATTTGTTTTAAAACCAAATTATTGGACAAATGTGATAATATTCAATCGGTTCATCCTCTGAGAATCATGAATATCTGCACAAAATGGCACTACATCTATTAGTTCTCAAGGTATTTCAGTCGGGACCAAAGTGGTGTGCTGATCAAGAAGCAAGAGGGAATTACTTAATAGGAAAAATTAATCAGCTCTTATTGCTTGTGGAGATTTAATCACAGCAGCTGATAGGATACTTCAGTCAGCAGAGCGACATTGTCAGTCTTAAAAGCCAAAACAAATACAAACGGTAAGCATGTGTATAGGTCAAGCAAGAATTATGTCATTGATGGACTAAAACCTACTAATGTATACCATTATTTTATGCCTATGCAAAATGACTAGCTGGTAGAAAAGTGGGCACTTCCTATGTATAAAAAATGCCAAGTAACACATCTTGGTGCTATTCAACCAAGCGAGTCGACATGACACTATTCCAAAAGCCCCCAAAGAGCTTCGTGATTGGTCAGTCAGCAGAAGTTGTTGCTCCGATTTTGTGTTCTTCACCACCAACTTGTCTGCATTTCGAAAATCTGAAAAGAAATACTTCTCTGCAATATAGGTGGAAAATGTAACGTAGCTCTTTTCTTTCCTCTCACTTTAGGATAAGTTATCTTTACTAAGCAGAGACAAGTGTGAGTGTTTAAACAGAAAGTCTTCCATATGTTTGCATGCTGAAGGTAGATAAGGTTGGTTCCCTCTTTGTTACTTCAGGGGGCTTTTGAAGGGATGAAATATGAGAAACATTTTCTAGATATGAAGATGCACTGGTCACACAACAGTAATACAGTTTGCAGTTAAGATAATTTTGATGGGGGTAGTGTTAGCCATCTTTATTCAGATTAAATCATCTCTTCCATCTTTGTGATTGCTCTTGGTTATGAAAGCATTTGACATAATTTGTCTGGTTTCCACAAGATTTGCCACCTGCTCGTTAATACTGTCACTCACTTTACTTTCAAATTGCTTTAATCTGTCAAATGAGCTCAGCTTGATTTTCACACAGAAGAACTGTAGAAATTCAACTAATGCTGAACGTGTCCAGGGTCGGTACGATATAAAGCCAAGCATTTCAAACTGGTCAATCTTCCATGTGAGAACCGTCACCACGAAAAAGTCCTTTCACACATCACTGACGTGTAACAAAAGGTTTGTCACAGACGTTTACAGCAACTTGCATAGCTCACAAAAATTTGACTGGCAAAACAGCCATTCCATTTTTCTTTAAAGTTAACGATTGACTTGTAGATACAGATGAAATTATTCCGATTATTTTTCTACTGGATAAATACCATATAGAGTGTTAGACTAACTATTTGTTCACGTTGGGGGCACCACAGCACATTCCAGGCAAACAAGTTAACAGTAATTGCTCAGTTGGTCTGCAGTCCGCTGAATTGCTTATGAAAACTTTCTGTATAATTTTGTATAAATCATGCATAAGTCAGGTATAAATCATGCATATAGCAAAAAACTGCATTGCTGCATTAATCTTTCCTGTATTCGTTGCCTTCAACTTTTATCTGTGTTTCCTTCACACGTGGCCAGACGGATACCCGAGAGACGAGATTGTGTACAAGTGGAAGCGAAACTCTGTGGAGACTTCAGACCAGAAATACTGGAGGCTCTACCAGTTTGACTTCATGGGGCTCAGGAACACCACAGATGTGCTCACGACGACAGCAGGTAAGAAACGCAGCGAGGGGAGGTCAAGAAAAGGTGATGGAAACTTGCACTTCCTGCTTCTTCCTGAACATATGGAGAAGCCAAAGGTCAGTTAAGGCTGCAGACTCGCAGAGTTCAGAGTCTCGCTCCAGAATGACCTTGCTGCCCCCGAGCTTTGCATTAGCAACATGCCAGTTATTGAAATCAGTACAGGCTCAAAGCTTGTATGATTTCCCCCAGGGTGTACGGGCAAATAGGTTTTTCCACTGACATAAATCATCAAGATTAAAGATTTAAAAGGAAGTTTAATTATTCAATCCTTTTCTCCATCTCTCTCCACATGATTTCAGGGCAGTTATTAGGTTATTTGTGTTCTCTGATGATTATATTTATGTCTGAGAGGCAGTGGCAGCTGAAGAGATGCTCCACAGGCTCCAACAGGTGCCAGTGCATTTATACCAGGAACTGGCCCTGAGTGGACTCTTTCCCAATACAGAGTCTAATGACTTCATGTAATTGTTAAACACTATTAACCTTGTTTATGAGTCTCGTATATTCCCTTTCCTTTGTGTCACACGGTCTTTTGTCTTTCGAGAGGCGTCCTCAGATCTATACAATGCGTCCTGATTCAGCTTTGCAAGAGCTTAAAGGTCCAGTGTGTAAGATTTAGGTGAAAGGGAGCTATTGGCAGAAATTTAATGCAGAATAATTCTCATTATGTTTTAACAAGTTCATTTCATCTAAATTGTATGAATTATAGTTTTCTTTAACCCAGAAAAGGCCCTTTATATTTAAATACTTTATATTTACATCGAGGGGACCCTCTCTACGGAGGCTGCCATGATTTTTACATTAGTCCAGACTGGACAAACTAAACACCTTTTGAGTTTTTATGACAATTAAAGGCTACCACAGTTTCTTTGTTTGGAAGGAGAGGGTGAGGTGAGGGGTGTTCAGCTGCAACATGCACTAAATTCTACACACTCACTGTGCCTTTAATTCTGTTTTTTACAGTAGCTGAATCCAATATAAATATCCTTCTTTTTAACTGATGACATTAGCACGTTCAGGAAGCAACATTTCTTCACCTCATTCTTAAACCTCCCGTTGGGAATAAGGATCGAGCTTCCTGTTTGTATCTAATTAGAAATGGCCGCCACATCTTTGTGTTCCTGATCACCAAAACCTAAATGACTGATGAGCTCTCTCATCTCCAGACACATTGATGGCTTTATAAATTACATGTTTTCCTGGACTCCCGCTGCATCGTGAAAAAACAGGCAAACTAATTTTCTGCTGAAATGCTCTAAAGCAACAGCAAACCTACACATCTACCTCATGCTGTTCAAGAAAATTAGCCGTTTTCTCATTTATTACCTCGTTTCTTTTTCCTGTTTCACTTGCCGGAGCTCGCTCTCCACACGCATGATGATTAGATTCCCGGCTAAAAATACCTATGATTAATTTACATCATGGCAAACTTCGAAAGTGCAGCACTTCTCTTCCCTCCTCCCTCTCCCTGATTTCCCTGCTTTATCCTTCATCCCTCATAAACACTTGAGGTACGGGTCTGTTTTAATGAGGACGGAGTGGACAGATCCCGGGCCACAGTGCCGCTGGGGACCCCGATGTCAGATCCACCATCGTTATCAATTCAGCAGCGTCCTCTTCAAAAGGCCCCAAAGCGGAATCCCAAACACTTCAGTGCTTTGTTCTGCGGTCCCATCGCAAATTCCCTGAAAGCTCGCATTATGCCCTTTACTGCTTTCAAATAGCAGAAATGCTGGTGTTCTTCCTTTTCTTCCTTTAATATGTCCAAGCAGGAAATATTTCAAATGCCTGTTTGTAGAGAATGTGTTGTAAAATTACTGACAATGCCCCCATGCTCTGACTGCACCATGTTTTATAATGCTAACATTCTATTTATGATCCATTATATGTAATATTAATCTACCTACTATGATGATATCTATACCTCTATTATAGAGTTCAGTGGCTGAAACTCATTAAAACTGCACTGCAGAATAACCAGTACATTTTGTCAAAGTTAGTAAGGAAGAGAGAGGTCCTCATATACATGTTGTTTTCTTGACATCGTTGCAGTCGTGTCAGTTTATTGAAGAGGGAAGCCGCCACAGCATTTCATTAATGAAACGGATTTTTTCTTTTCTGGCAGCTTCCAAACAGAAAGTAGACCTGACGGTGCAACATGACACAGTGTGGACAGGTTTATAGCAGGCTACTGGGACTAATAAGTATTCTGCAGGAGTGTGTGAACAGAGGGGTTGTTAGTGTCCTAACAGAAGGTAAACAGAGTTACACCACACTGCAGATAGAGAGATAGTCCATCATGGGAATGTGCTTCACCACAGCCTCCGTTCAGCCCTCTCTGTAATTTAAACTGTAATCATATGTGACATTTCCGAGAATAATATTGCAAAATGATCATTGCATCATGTATTTTATATTTATTATTGTATATTCCTATTGTCACAAGCGCTGTATCATTATTTAAAGCACTATATAAAGATGGACACTGCATCTCCTCCAGCTATCCAGAAATGAAGCCAAAATATATTGAGGATATGAAAGCTGCCATCTTGTGCACATGAAGCCAGAGTAGGGATCAGGAGATAGAGCCTCGGTAGTGAGGACCACCGGATACACCCTCTCGACAGTGGGCTTTCATTTGGGGTACAGGTTGCAATAGTATTTGAGAGAAGATGTCAGTATTGATCTGTTGGTCTGGACAGAATTCAAACAAACTCTCGTCAACCACAGCCTGAGCAAATCATTAAAGTTTTTAGCCAATAGCAGCACTGGAGAGATGTGTCTGAAGCCTGGTGTCATTCATTGACTGAAGCTCCTGTTGTTTCTGCACTTTAGCTCTTCCTTAAAGTGTTGTACAGCATGAACACATTTTAAAGCTGCCAATCCCAGTGCAAACCTCTGGCTTTAGTGGCATCATCTGCAAATCAAACGCTACCAAAGATCCTGCAGTGCCATGGTGTCCTGTTATATAACTGAGGATATGAGACAGAACTCACAAACAATGAAAACATCAATCTACTGTTTGCAGTGGAACAACTAAACGTAATTCAGGGCATCGTCAGTCCTGATGGACGGATGCTTCTGTGTTCAGCACCTTCGTTCTGGGAACACTTCATCAAATCACATCTGCATCAAAACAGCCTTCGATATTCCAAAAAACTTCTACTTTTATGTTCTGCACTGGCACATACTTGCAGCCGTGAAGGTGATAAACACTCCTCTGCACCAGTTTCACCGAGACACCACGCTCTTTATTCGTTCCACTGATGTGAGGTTCAGCTGCAAGCGGAGGAGGTTTTCTTCTACAAATGTTTTTATCTAACTCCACATCCTTTTCTTGGAAATACCTGAGTGACCGCAAGCCTCACTGGTATTTTATGTAATAATCTTCCGATGCATAGAACTTTGTCAAGGCTACAAAAATGGCTTTTCTTCACCAGGTATTGCAGCTCAATATCCCTGCAGCTGTCAATTAAAAAGCTTGTAAACATCTGTACAGCGGAATGATTTCTGCCACTCTTTTGTTTTTACTTCACATTGACAATGTTCACGATAGAGAGAAGTGTTTTCTTTTATTTAATGGGTTCCATTAAGGTTATATCGCATTAGTCTCACCTTTTCTCAACTATCTCCTTTCTATCTCTAGACCTGATTCCAAACTATCGTTCAAGACAATAAACACTTCCTGATATTTTGTTTGACCGTAGAGTTTATCACGTTTTTGCTGCGAAGGCACGGTTATAATTAAAGTTACTGCAAGACCTTAAATGTTATAGCACAGCTTTAAAACACTTTTGATTATGTCATTATAAAACTGGGCTGACGACGCTCTAAGATGGTTTCAGCTCAACACAACAGAAAATGTCAGTTCTTCTCTGTGCAGAGTTCTCCAGGGATCCCTCCTCGGCTCCTGGCTGTTTTTGCAAACGCTTCACCTAGATTCTGCTCATCCCAAAACACAACATACAGATCTGTGATGTTATACAATCAGCTGACTAATCTGCTGACTCTCACGGCTCTCTAATAAAGTGTGTGGAGTCTGCTGAAAAATGTGGGTCTGGCCTCTCTTTTGATGACCACGTTAAGAGAAGTATCTCCCAGCTATATTTCAGACCTTTTTAATTACTCATGAGCCAGTGTGCTGATTCAGATCCTCAGGGATGGTCTTTAGATTAGAAATGAGAAGAAAGTGTAATTTCCAAAATAGCAGGGTCACCTTACAATATATATTGAACAGTTTTGCAGCTCGAAACAGGTCAATTCCTTTCTGGAAAATTGCTGTTTTTGTAATATTTCCATATGAATGGAGGAAATGAGAAATCTGAGGCTGGTGTTCATTTACGCTTCGTGTTTTTTTACTCATGGGGTCCAGTGGCATTGCACCAGCTTGTAAGAAGAACAAATCACACATTGGATTGAGTTATGATTGTTATTCAGCAACAGAGCTTTGCAATCCTGTGTTTGAGCACTGAAGCATAACACTAAACCTGATCCTGGACTGCATGACATATAATGTGGCTCCGGGGAGCTTCATGCAAGAACAGATCCACTTGTGAAATGTGTCTTAGGAAGAAAATAGAAAATACAACTCACTCCGCTACCCAGAAATTTAGATAAAAAATATCCTAGATACCAACACTGCCATCTTTCACATTTGGAGCCAGAGTCCGCACTGTAGCGATTGACATATACTGTAGCCAGCCACTAGGGGGGTGATTGGGATATTAACTAAAATAAACAACTCTAATAATGAAGAAAACTTAAAATGATTCTCTGCCATTTTCTCTCTCAACAGGTGACTACATATTGATGACGGTGTACTTTGACCTCAGCAGGCGAATGGGCTACTTCACCATCCAGACCTACATCCCCTGTATCCTGACTGTGGTCCTCTCCTGGGTCTCCTTCTGGATCAAGAGCGACGCTACGCCTGCAAGAACGGCCCTAGGTACACAGCAGCGCCACCCATGCAGCTCTGCAGGGAGCTACTGGGAGCAGCACTTAAAATTTTAAAAAAGGCTTATGTAACTTTATCATTTGGGAGCAGTAATTTGTTGCAATACTTTTTTCTGTTTCACCCAAAAAACCGATAATTCCTTCCTTGCCTGTGAATGATCCACAATAGTGTTTTTGTGCTTTAATTGAAGTGATGGGAATACTTTCACAACAGGATATAAAATTTCCTGCCACAGCTCATTCAGGCTGCATGAGCGTAATGTGGGGAAAATGAATCGGAAGTCGGTGGCAGGATTTGATAATTCCTGTTCAATCTGGGGTTAGACAGCTTGATAGCAGAAGCAATAATATCTTTTTTGATGCAATATTATAAATCAGTCCCTGCAGTCATTACCAGCAGAAGCAATTATATTACTGGAATATCTGCACTTTACTGAACATTGCTGTTGAGTGAAGGACAACAGAAGAAGAGAAATGTGTGTGTATCTGTCTTTATGCCTGTGTGACTGTTTCACCCTAACTTGAGGCCATCTTGAATATCTTTATGTCCCATCAGTGCTTGTGGCTTGTTTGTTCATAACTCTTTTGAAATCTTATTTTTCTTTGCATGACCTGACAGTTGCTTTGCATGATGGTCCTCCCCCGCTGCATGCCCGCCATTAGTTCATTTGATTTCCTGTGGATGCTGATGTTGTGCACAGTGCTCATGGTTTCCTGTTTAAGGTGAAGTTCAAGGTGAGTTTCTTATATATATAAAATGTCCTGTAAATAGTAATTTGACTTCTTTCAGTTTACGGTTTTCGCCCGGAGCTCAGTAGAATAGTTGCATAAGTGAGGAGGAACAAGATGATACAGTAAATATACTATACATTATAGATGATTAATTCAAAGGCAACTTAAGGAGAAATGTGAAAGTGCAAGGAAGGGGGTTTCAAAATGAATACATTTTGATTGTTTTAATTTAAATGGTAAACAGGGGGTCTCACTCATGACCTCAGAGAGAAACAACACAGAGTGACCGACCAAAAACAGGAAACAGTTCCTGAGAAGGCAATTAACCTCAAATCTGACACGGCTCAGGGAACAACAAAGACACATGACTTTTATCTGAAAGGTCAATTAAAGACACATTTCTGATTTACAATCCAACATGGACTCCAGCGGCAGCGAGGTCCCACCGATGCACGAGCTCGACCAAATGAAAAACTTAGAGCAGAAATGAGAAATGTATTTGACAAGTACAGTGACTTTAAAGTTTGGTTGAGGTACCATCCACTAACATGGAGGAGGTGGGATTTAGGACCTATACTGCAGCCAGTGGTGACAGAGATGCTTTGGCTTCACTTTGGGGAATTCACAGTCTGGGAACGGTTGCTAATTTTCCTCCTGCTCGAGACGTGGTCACTACGTATAGATGCAAAGTGGAATATGGCCACATGGTTTCACATCCACACAAAGAGGCCAGGAAACCCCCCCAACACCCCAGTTGGTAATACTTGTTGGAGAAGGAAAGACCAAACTCATTTAACTCCACGTGCCGACTCCACCAAACCTCCCACTCCCCTCACTCCCTGCTGTCACTTGAATTGAGCCAGCGCACACAACTCTGGGGTACTTTAATTCCACTCCATCCCTGCTGCCCTTCATCAGCCTGCCAGAGAGCCAATATCACAGAAGGTCATCTGGAACATCTCTGTGGCAATAAAGAAGTTATATTGAAGTTCTGTCCATGCCTATCGCTTCAAGCCAAGAGCCCAGAGAAAGAACTTAACCGAGAGCCGAACAATAAAGCCGTCTAATGTTATATTGAATTCAGTGATAAGCGAGCATTACTGCCCACGCATGTGCTGGTCCAAATGGAGCCTCCCCTCTTTGTGCCCATAATGCAGGCCGATCATAATGAAAGACTGCGTTCGCCTTGGAGTTGTGCTCCGCTTACCTTTTGCTGTTTAGCTGATGAAAGCTGACACAATGACAGCTGAACATCAAAAGAAAAAATATCTCAAGAGAGACACCACCAACAAGGTTCTTTTTTCAGAGTGTGGTGAAGAATGTGTTTGAAGGATATGTGCACAAATATCTTGCACATTATCTACAACTATTTAATTGGTTTTAATCCATCAGACACCTCTGTTTGGAAATATGAAGGATCACTGTGTCACAGCCTTATACAGTAGCTGCTGCAGCTGTTACTTAATCACATTGTCTGTGTGTGTGCGTGTGTCTTGCTCTCCATCACTCTGTCAACCCGTCTGACTGCCAACAACCAAAGGCAGGCAAAGCGTACAGTACGTGGGTGGCGGTGTGCTACATGACCAAAGGCAGTGAAAGCCTTGTGATCTCCCTCAGACAACAGGTAGCGCAGAGCAGCAAGCTGTCCCAGTCCTGATAAACATCCACATTCAGCTCGACAACAGAAAGTCATTTAGCCTTTCTTCTCTAGTACATTGCCCCCGTTTTCAGGTCGGCCTGAGACCTGATCCCCAGGCTGAAAGGGGAGAGCAGAGATAAGAGGAAGCTGGGCACAAGAGAGGGACGAAAGCAAAGTGAAGGCCTCTTGGCAGGTAGCGGCAAGGACAAATGTCAGAGGAGGGAGGGAGAAGGATCAGTGGGATTGTGGAGAGGTTGAAATCTAAGGAAAACGGAAAGTAATGCAGCCCCTTCACGCTTCTGGGCTGTGTGCCCTGACAAGCCGCTAACATGTTCCAGGTGGTATTTCCAAAGAGCTGTCACTCACACGCTGCTCTCTCAGCGACAGGATGACGTTTGGAAGGTAGCAAGCTGGAAGTAAGAGAGCTGAACTCAGGTTGATTCCCATTAGACCTCAATCTCTGCAGCTCAAATGGATCTTGGCAGAGATACGAGGGTTGTTGGTGGGGAAGTAAACTCACCCCCAAGGCACGGTGGTTCTGGAACTGGGGGAATAGCATCCATTGTCATGAGATACAAAGTTATCCAGGGTAAAATAGAATTGATGTGTGTTCAAGTGTTTTCCTGTTGGTTTGGTGTTAATTAGTTATCTGATGCTATAAAAACAGAGTGAAACCTCATGACTGGCATCTGAGACTGACTAAACTCCCATGGAAATTTGCAGGAAACAGAAAGAGAAGATTTTTGACCACCCATTCATCTGCCCTGACCTGAAAAACATTCTTATTCATCGTTTTACTGAAGAAAAATCCTCAAAAGCCAAACAACACCCCGCTTTTTTTAGTCATCTCAAATATTGTGCACTGCCGAGCAGCAAGCTGAACAAAAATAGCTTATTTGTCAAGATATGAGTGTGATGCTGAAACATTTAAAAACCCAACGCTTCCCTGCGAGCTGTCATTCACACAAACACTTGTCAACGTTGATATGTCTGTTTGGGTGAAGGAGTTGACAATGTTCCCCGTGAGTAGAAGACAGGGGCTCGTCTTGAACCCAGGAGGAGTCTAAATCGAGTGTTCAACACACGGACAAACTGGCAAAATGATCCGCTCTGTTTTCATATGTGAGTTGTGTTCCTGAGACACGTCTGATGGCAGCAGCAGCAGCAACTTCAAACTAAAATAAAGTTAGCCTGGACTAAAGATATCAAGCTGTCTGTCAGAAATTAAATGGCTGAGTGAATAAATTAGAGTAGACTTACTGAGGCTGCTTAATCCCAAGTGGAGGAGAGCCATCTGACTGATTACATGCATGGGAGATGTAGCTTTAAGTCAAGGCCTCTACATTGTGCGTGAAACAACCTTAATCAGATTAGACTGAAGTTGCCATGTGCAGCATTTTAACCTCAATCACTCGTGCATTAATTTGAAACCATCAGTATAATTACCATAAACAAACAAGGCTCGTGCAGAGGAGACCGTCAGACTCTGTGTACGCTGCCTTTTAGTTTGTGTTGATGTGGCCGCAGAGTTGAAATACAGGAGGCTTTTCACTTTTTATAATAACACACTTCAACCGTTATAGCTGCATAATTCCAATTCATCATGTCAGGACACTGCTGTGATCTCTACTCCACCCTCTCTGCCTTTTTTTAGAGGATGCATTTATGTTTATGTTCATATTGGGAGACCCAGGTTACTGTTAGCTGGATTGTTACTTCACTCCGGTGTAGTTTAAAGTACTACTTTTGTTAAATAATTTACAGTATTCATGCCACTGACATAACTTATAATTCTTATTTCAATCATTCCAGATATTAGCTCATGTCGGGCACAATCTAAATTGAAGCTTCCATATAGCAACTTACACCATTAAATGTATTTTAAAAATATTCACATTTGAGCAGCTGAAACCAGTCAAATTTATTTCGACCTGGCTACTGATCCTTAACTGTAGTCCTCAGTTCTACTATTTATAGATGCTCCATGAACACAAGCTGTGGTCTGCTCCACCTGGTTTCCCCCTGGATACACAGCAAAGGTCAACATCGGAAATGTTTGAAAGTATTGCGACAACGCCACTACACACGCATGACACAGGTTTATACGGGCCCTGTGTTTTTACGCTGAGGACGTCTGCTTTGTTCGGGCATACGCACAGGAACTTTTCTCACTTCAGTGTGATGCCGCTCGTTGTCAGTCGGTAGACGTGAGACTAGTGTGTGGTTCAGATCGCCCGCAAAGACAGGAATCACCTGGTTACCATGGCATCATGGAGCGACAATTCCCACTGAATGCACTAAACTGTGCAACAGACACACATGACCTTGATTTGAAATAGCAGCCCAAACTGTGAGCAGCCAGTGGGTTGCTTGTGATGAGAAAAAAAGAAAAGACGAAGCAGTGGAGTCGATGCACCTGCTGCTTTATCCAGCTCACACTGTTTACAGTGCGTTGAGATTCTAACAGATATAAGGAATTAAGGAATTAGAAACACAGAGTTGTTCTTGTAACTATTGGTGCCTAAATCTAATGAGCGGAAGAAAAAGGGATAAGTCTAGACGAGCACTAGACTAGAGGAGGTAGCTTGAAATAGACGGGAGCAACTCGTCTCTATGGAAACCACAGGCGAAAACAGTGGCACACACTGCCATGAAAGACATGTAGGAGATGAGGATGAAAGAGACAGAGAAGAGAGAGATGGAGGGAGCGAGAGAGGGAGAGAGAGAGGGGGGGGGGACAGGGAGGGAGAGGAGGGGTGAGACATGCCACGAAGACAAAGAGTGTGGGGGGGTGAGGGAGGGAAAGACGGTGCGATCAGGAGAATGATGTGTGTTTGTCACAGCAGTAGATATCGATGCCCGCAGCGGGCGTCTCTGTTTAAAAGGATTGATTTAATTTCACCGAGACGACACAATATTCTCCTTTAAGGCACCATGGGAGTAATTTCTCAAACGATGGCACTCAAGACACAATTAAAAGTTCTCCCAGCTTCCAGAAGACGTGCACAAAATGAACGCTGAGCACGGACAACGTACGGCTGCATACGAATCTAACGCTGAGCGTAAATCAGCCTTAACTCACAAGCAAGGGTTTTAAGCTCAATCACAGGAAATAGTGATGGATGATGATTTAAACAAATTAGAACTTTACACCAAATAATTATTCCTCCCCAGGAATGTCTTTGTATAAAACAGAACAAGCCAAAGTACCCATTGGATGGTAAATTACACTAAACCGACCCTTAATTTACTAAATGTACATCATACTCTATTGAAAAAGACTTGAAACTAGCGATTAAGATCATAAACTCTGTATGAAAATGTTAAGTGATATTATAAATGTCTACGTCTGTGGTGTACACAACATGGAGCCGGGCCAGAGTTACAAGGTGATCAAGGAATCTTGCAGCATTAACTTTGACATATGGCCACTTGTGCATCAGCAGTTGAACGGCGCCTGTAAGTGGCTGTTACACATTTTTAAATGGATGTGAGTTTTCACGACAGGAGTTGAGATAATGTGAGAGTTACAGCCTCCGTTCCATCAGTCATCACTGTCATGAGAAGACAAGTGGACTGATGGGAGCTGCAGCTCTCCAGGGACAAACTAATGACCACAGTCTATACATCAGTCAGCATAATGTGGCTTTTCATTTGACGAGTCCAAAAAAATCTCTCATGTCTTTATATGTCTAATACGTTGAAGGAAATTTGATCTTGTTAAGTGAGGAGCGTGGTGCTGTTACTGATGAAGTAATGAATTAGAAAATTCACTTTTTATTATTATTTACCCTTTTGACCACAGTTTATAAAATAAATGTTTGCCATATTTGGTTCTAGGAAATATGTAATTTTCACAAGGACTACTTTAAATTTACAGCTCTACCATGCAGCAAAAAGTTTTCTCATTATTGTCCAAAGAAACTACAAGAAAATGGAAGAAAGATAATAATTTCACCAAGTTTTCACTTTTAGATACTGTCACTCACATTATAAAGAATTCAATCAAAATTAAAACACAGGAATATATCTCTATATATATCTTTTGGCCGCTGTTAGTTTCGTCCTTGAAGTCCCTGATAATCATCTTTCCAAACAAACCCTATTGACAAAAAAAAAAAGCTGTTGCAATTACCATAAAATCCTTGAAGAAAAAAACTGCAGAATCCATGAACAATGTTATTTTGAAAAACCCTCAGTTCTCTGTATGAGGTTTTTGAAACTTTAAAAACCTTTTTTGAATGAACTCCCCTGGTAGATTTAAAGTAATAAAGGTACCTGCTGAATTGTGGCTGCGCTGCTTGAGCCAAATCAGCGACATGTCATGTTGAGGTCATGATGAGGTATGTGGCTCCCCTATAAAATAAAAGTTCTTAACCCACAAATCCATTGCTGACATTTTTTTTGACATCACTGGGGGAAAAAGAAAATATAATAATGATTATTATTTGAGCATTTTAACGATCCTGCTGCACCACACACTCAACAAATCCCCTCTGTGGGTGTTTAATAGAAGACAGGATTGATGCAAGAATGGGGACATTTACCCAGAATACCCCTTATCCATTATTAACGTGATTAATAAACCTCCTTCCACATGTTATATAATCACTAACTTCTGCACGGGTCGCCCCGGCACTGACCAGAAATTCATCATCATCATCTCTGATCAAAGTGTTGCTCTTTCTCTCCCAGGTATCACCACAGTGCTGACGATGACCACCCTGAGCACGGTGGCCCGAAACTCTCTACCCAGAGTGTCCTACGTGACGGCCATGGACCTGTTCGTCACCGTCTGCTTCCTGTTCGTCTTTGCCGCCATGATCGAGTACGCGATGCTCAACTACTACTCCTACAGTATACGCAGACCTCCTGCCAGGATGCAGAGAATGGTAAGCCTGTGGTGAATGTGTGAGTAATGGGCTGGCGCTGGATATTAGCTCTGCAGTTGTCTGTTATTTATGTTAACATCCACCTCCGCCCCAGCCAAAGTTCCTCTTTGAGCAAAGCTGCATAAAACAGACTGTAAAGCATGAAGCTTTCATCAGTATCTTCCATATAATGATCTCATTAATGTAGCAACATGGAAAAATGAACAGGCCTCGTTTTTCCCCCCACTTCAAATGTCTTTTTTGCACTGAAATTTCTCACATACATGAATGGCAGTAACTTTCCAAGCCTCAAACCAACTATTTAGAGACACAAACATCCAAAAACACATTTAATCCAACGACAAAACAGCCACAGGGATAAAAACTACTACAAAGAAGACATAAAGTAATTACTAAAAGACACAATATAATCACCAAGATGCTAAAAACATTTACAAAGATACGCAAACGATTTCAAGGACACTAACAACTGCAGAGACTCACAAACGAGATGCAAACTGACCACTAAGAGACACAAGAGGACTACAAAGAGAGGCCAATTAACGACAAAGACACACACAACCACAGCAAACAGAAACAAAATGACCGCAGAGAGACACAAATAAATACAGACAGCCATGTTGTGTCTCAGTCGGGCTGCCAATTTAAAGAGGAGACTACAAAAGGGACAAATGCTGAGATGAAAATATAGACATGACAACACTGTGCCCCATGATGTGCTAACCAAGAATTAACATAAGTGTGTTGATGTGTTTTTCTCTGCATCCAGGCCTGGTTCACATTTCAGTCATCAAACGATGATCCAAGAGTTGCTCTAGATGCTCTTTCAACTCACTGAGGGCAGAGTCTTTTCAGGCAAAATTAAATAACAGAAAAAATTGATTGAATTCAGGCAATCGGTATTTTTGGTCACATTGATTGAATCCATAGGGTGTCAACATATATACTGCACAGTGTTCTACACGGTGCACCATATCGACGTATTTGGATTCAACAAAACCCTTTTTTTCCCAGCCATCGTTCCCGTGTGAGAGCCTAATGCTCAGTGTGGGCGTTCTCAAGACTGCACCTGTCGTGCACGCTTTAATGGCAGAGCCACTCGTCTGCTAAAACTGAGTCAGCCACTGCTGCTGTCATTTCGCTCCAGATCTCCCTCTCTTTTCATTATTTCCTCTCAGTGTAGAGGGTTTTTTGCTGAATGTGAGTGTCAGTCCTGGCTGAACAATTAAGTTGTGTTATGCCCCCGTCCGCTGCACAACTGGCTCACTGTTGTATTTTGGCCTGGTCTGTCTGTGGGGAAGCCTCATACCACCACCACCACCACCCCCACGCACCCCACCCCCATCGCTGTGGCCCCTTTGTGCCACCCACTCAGTCGGTTCTCTCTCTCAACAAGACACATCTTTCTCTCTTTCTCTCTCTCCCTCTCTCTCCTCCCACTCTTCCTTTAAGAGCGGAGCAGAGGACTGGAAAAACATGTGTGAAGATTTTTTACCCCAATTAGGTTGTCCCACACGATTTTACAGGCATCGGGGAGGAAGTCACATAATTAATTTTCTCAGGAGTACTCATTCAGCATTCCTGTCTTTAAAAAATGTCAGGTTACAGCTGCAATATGTGATAACAAAAACTACGATTCTTTCTATCACTTGCTTATAGATTTGTAAGAATCCACCTGTCAACTATCATATAATAATATTATAGTTCATTTAATTCCCCATCAAAAGCATTTACATTCACAAATGCATTTTGCCAATGTTTTTGTTCAGTGATGTATTTCTTCTTCATTCAACTGATAAGTGCACAAATGTAGAGAAGGAGTCATCACTTTCTTTTCACAACATCAATAGAGTCTTTCCTTCAGCAATCTGAAGCGCCAGTAAATGTTCGTCAGGGCTTTGAGTGTCTATGGACTTTTGCATGATCAATCAAGAGAGTTTACTTCCTCCACCACAGTTTCACTGTACCAGAATGTAATGCAGCAAAAAGGCAAACTGCAAAAAACCTTCGACATGACTCGATTTTCCATTCGCACACTGCATTTGTACAGATTTAACACTTGAATTCCTTTTCAGTGTCATAAATTCTCCTGTAAATTGCCAAACATAGAATCTAAGGGGTTCTCAGAAGAATTGTCGATGTTGTGGAGAAACGTATGCCGCCCCTTCTCAGCTCAGTTCCCCAGGCTGTTGCTACCCTGTTGCAACGCGCCTGACTGCAGAGAGTGTTAAGAGAATAAGAATGATCAGGAAAACATGTAAGATCACACTCTTACAACAGCCCATTGCTTTGATATCCGGAGAAAATCCAAAGCCCGAATAAAAACAACTTGTTTTACTGTTGCTAAGCTATAACTGGTGCAGGGCAGGGTTAAGCAAAATGTCAATTGCTCCACCATAACACTCTTTTCCCATCTTGCCAAACAGGCCTACTCATCTTTCAACATGAGTCGCAACCCTCGGACCATGATGCCCATGGGTAATTCCCTCTTCTGGCACGACTATGACGACAACTGCCTGTACGAGTGCTTGGACGGGAAGGACTGCAAGAGCTTCTTCTGCTGCTACGAAGAGTGTAAAGAAGGCGGCTGGAGGAAAGGACGGATCCACGTCAACATCCGTGAGCTGGATTCCTACTCTCGGGTGTTTTTCCCCACATCCTTTTTGCTCTTCAACATCGTCTACTGGGTCAGCTACCTCTACCTCTAGTCAGTCATGGGCCGTGAGCCCTTGCTGAAACCGCCGGTGTCCGCGGCTCGTGATAAGAGGTCAAAACTAAGCGTGGAAGAGGAAGTGAAGGGGATTCACCCTGCAGGAAGCGTGAAAGACGCATGCTGCCTCAGGAGTGGTAGGACTGACAAATACATGTGAGCTGGTGTGCAGTGGAAAGGCAATGATACTTTGAGCTGTGGCATTGCGAGGAGAATAAAATGCTCAGCAGCAGAACCACAAGCCCGTCAACATTAACTCGAATGGAAACGTCCCGTTTATGATTCGCTCGGAAACCAAACAACAGACAGCTGTGACTTCAGGGGACAGGGGGTTGCATTGCTGAATCTTGGTGGACGAGATGGCGAAGCACCCATAGTGCCTTCTTTAAAAAGGGTGCCGCATTGAGAGACGCAGCTTCAGAGTTCCCTTCATTATCTTTATTACCTCATCCATCACACCGCTGCATGCTGAGCTGTTTATTCTTTGAAGAAACAAAGCCAGAACACAGTTCTCACCACTGGGAAATGTTTGAAACGGACACTCACCATTCATTTTGTAGCACATTAGCTTTCGTTGTACCCTAGAATTAGTTCTCCTTCCTAACAATAGTAATGTTTTCTTCTTCTTCTTCTTCTTCTTCTTCTTGTTGTTACTGGAATTAGTTGTGTTTTCACAGCGAGTCAATGAGGTCACACATCAGTTGTTGATTGTTAAATATGAGTTTAGGGGCAGTGGTTGTCTGGTAAAATCTTGTTTACTAAGTCAGTGAGCTTTTGTTCATGATGCTTTGTGACCAGACGATGCATTTTACAGTAGATGCCAAGAAGATTTTTTTTTTTTTACCGATTGCTGGGTTACATCCTTACACACCAAATGTATAAGAACCGCATAAATACATAACAATCTAATACTTAACATGCTAATCTCATCTCCGGGCGTATTAGGTATGTTACAGCACATGAATAAACAGATTAGGGTTTGTGCAATATGGGTTACTTCCTGACAACAGCTATGACAAAACAGTTTCACATTTTACTTTCCACACTCTTATGTATATCATTCTGTGTGATGATTTATATTGTTGTTTATCAGACCCACGTATTTAGCTTGAAGGAAAAGGTTGACATTTTGGGAAATGCACAGGCAGTAATTCACCAAATAGCGGCCTGATCCACTCATTTGTAATTTAACCTTTTCCCCAGTTATTGCAAACTTAGAACTTACCCCATGTTTACCTTTTGTCTTAATGACGTCAGTTTCCACAGCACTAGTGCCCTCAGTAGACTTGTGTCAGTTCTTCTACTACTGTAAAATAAAATAAAGTATTTGTTGATGGTAGCATAACATTGATTGTGAGTACAGCAAATAAAACAGGATTGGAATTAATAATTAAGAGTACAGAGGTGAGTATAATATTACTGTTGTGGAACTATTGAATAAGTGCTGTGGACTGATATCTACAGCTAACCAGACTCTGTTCAGAGTTAAAAAGAAAAGTGTAAAACCTCTAAAGGTCAATAATTTATACTTTAAATACACACAAAAAGAATACAAATGATAATCTTCTGTTGTAATTTCATTAAATTTCACCTATCAGGACCTCCAAAGATTTATTGTGAGTAAAGTGTCGTGTACTGGTCTTGGCAAAAAGTAAATAACTTTTAATAATGGTATCAATCTTCTCCTCTAACCCTCGGCAAGAAGGCAAATAAGCATAAAACTAGTTAATATTGAGCTATTCTTTCAATGCATTGGTTTTCAGGGGCACATGATGTAATTCTGGGTAACCACTAAATAATTGTTCTCAATGAAAATGGTTGCATACAAATATGTTGCGTACAAACGAGCTGAACAAACATTAGTTTTGGCCACGAGCCATTTGAACCCCAAAGCTCACACAAAAACATAAACAGTACATGGCCTATTTATTTTGCATTAGAGTCATTCCATCCAGTTTCAGACGTGGAGCTCGAGTCTTGATGAAAGCTTTAAGTATTTCTTTTCCTGATGATAAAGAAAGGGATTTCTGATCTAAAGGCAAACGTTCCTCTAGTGCCCGGCCGGCAGTGATCACAGGTGCTGTAAAATAGGTTCTATATATTGTGATACTCCATTCACTCGTATAATGTGCACAGCGCAGCGCTAACATGGATGATACAGGATGGTTGTTGCTGACTCTTGATGGAGTCACCTCCTCAAACATGTAAAATTGCCATACGTGGAGTCAAACCCACGAGTTCAAATAGACACACACGCACACACACACACACACACACACACACACACACACACACACACACACACACACACACAGGGACGGACGGTACAGACAGCGTTTTGTTTACTGTTATATGGTGTTTTTTGCAGTCGTTTGGCTTTGTAGAACAATCAAACCCCAATCCCCTTCTCCTTCTCTTCCCCAACACACACACACACACACAGGCCCCCCACCCCCACGTATTTGTATGTTCAGAGAAAAAGCTTTTATGTAAGATGTATCTAATTAATGTTTCTATTTTCATACAGTTATATATGGAATGTATGTTAGGGCCAGTAGCGAGGCCGGAGTCAATCTGGTTCCAGTTCAGTCAGCTCAGGCCTCCTAAATGAGTTTATATTTAGGGCTGCTACATATTCATAAGGCCTCCAGACACATTTGTGTCCTGTCCAGAGGTTTGGAATTACAAATCAAATTGCCTCGAGTGACGCTAGAGATTCAGCAGAAGGGCTGTTACCCTGTGGGCCATTACTTACTCTGCTGATTTAATATATTAGCTCATAGGAGACATTGAAGTTTCATTAGTATTTTGACATTATATCTATCTATCTATCTGTCTGTCTATCTAGCTATCTATCTATCCACGAGCTGACTGAATGGAACAGAGCTTGGCTCACACAGCAGTAAACTCTCCTCACCTCTGATATTTCTACTACACTTTATAAGTGTCTTCGTCTGTTGAGATACTTCAATAAAACAAATTCACTATTTTCTACGTCTTGATGAAAATCACCCGTGTGTTTCAACTGACTGAGACCTGTATTAGGAATCTGAGTGCTAACCCAGGATCAGCATTGGCAAACGTAATGAACAGGAGCCTCTTCCAGAGACCTAATCTCTGCATTATCGTCATCCACTAAGAGAGTGACACAAAAAGTCCTAATTTATTATTTAAGAAATTTGGATTCTCAGTAAGGTCTCTGAAGGGCGGGGCTGCACACAAATAAAAGCCACCCTGATCTTGGATCAGCACTCCAAAGGAAAATATTTTATGAAATCAGGATCTAGAGTGAAAATAAGTATCTTTTTTCTAGTGCGTGGTACATTGCTTATATTAATAAATAACGTTTTTGTCAAGCGCTACTGTGAAGTCTTTTTGTGTGTGAATGAAACCGAGAGTATTATTCCCTGTGTTGTTGAGCTCTGTTTCCTGCCTACAGGAGCAACATTGTGTCCTAAGCTGCCATGAGCCTCGTGTAAAAACTTTTATTCTGCTGCGTTACAGCCATGAAGATCTGAAAACATCTGAGGAACACAACGCTTGGAGTTTAACATGTCTGTCTAGTGCCGATCTGCACAGTCTGAAAAGGTCATGAGTCTGTGGTTTGAATTAAATCTTCCACTGAATTCCATTATTTAATCAAGACACTATTTAATCAAACTTGAACTTTGACTACAAAACTTTGAGTCTTACTATAAAATCTCTTAAAATGTTTTTATCAAAGGAATCTATCTAATGTTTCCACTACTTTTTATTTATCATTTCTTTTATCTTACACTGCAGGAATTAGTTTGATCTTTTTTATTCTTGTGATTATAATTTGCTGCCCTCTCTGAAGCATCTTTGTTTTCATACCTGCTTTTCTAAATAAAGACTATTACTATTAATATGTCTATGCGGAGCAAGGTCAGGTCGCTTTTTTATAAAACTCCAAATTACAAATTTATCCCAGATCAAGGTCAAGCGTTGCATATGTTGAATACATAGTGTAAGTAGATCTTTACCTCCTTTATTATTGACCATGCAGTCTGTTGCTTTAACTTGATAATTACAGCTCTCAGCCAGAGATATGAAGTAATCTTCCATGTAATGAGTTTGTCCTGCAGTGACAAGTGGTTGTTAACTGACTTTTTCTTTTGGCAGAGTCAAGAATTTAAGTTCAGATAAGTCCAAGTTTTTTTTTTGATGCAACCCCACTGGTTTCAAGTCCAGAATCTACATGCTAAGAAACAATGACCCATTTGATAAATGAAGCTCTCCACAGAAAACAGAATAATTTACAGTTGTCTTCGGCCTAATAAATATGACACAACTAATATCCACTGACAGATGCATGAGCACATCACTGCTTCACCCCGAGTTTGTTGACCTAGTTTGAAGCAAGCCGTCGTGAACGTTGTACAATTGAGTCAAAAGGGTGAACGTTGCATCGCAGAGCTCCACCGCCGCCAAAACTGGAAGACGGTCCTTCCACCCACGCGAGGGGAAAAAGCAGGATGGCACGGCAACACAGTGGATGTGGTGAGGAAGGCAGCAGAGAGCTGAGCTGTCTGTGTGAGAGTGTGTGTGGAGTAAAGCAACAGCTTTCCTCACAACAAGAATGGACACCCCCTGTGAGAAAATGTGTGTGTGTGCCTGTGTGTTTGAGTGTGTGTACATAAATTCATGCATGCTTGCCTGTATGCCTCAGTGAGAAGGGACTCTGTAGTGTGTGTGTGTGTGTGTGTGTGTGTGTGCCAGCAGTGTTGTGTGGGTATTAACAGATGTGCACAGTTATTGGATGTGTATTTTACCTATTAAATAACAAATTACAGTTAAATAGTTCATGATTTTTGATGATGATGATATGAGGGGGAAAGATAATCTAAGGCCTAAAAGTATTTTGGACATTTTCAAATCCTATTTCAGATGAGTCCTAACCAGATGGACAATGCATCTCCACTTCTTCCCACTAATTAAGCCAAAACATCCAGGATACGAACGCTACCATCCACCGAGACATGCCCTCGAGTCCAATCGCGACGTTTCAGTCAATGGTTTTAACTCGAGCGATTCCACAAGAGGAGGTATGTTTGCGACACTTGATGCATGAAGCTTATTGCTGTTTTCATCGTTCACCAACTGGTCCTAAAGTTCTATCAGTAGCAGAACAAACAAGTTGAAAACAGTGTTCCAATAAGAAAAGTACTGCAGCAACAACAGGTGTAAAATACATTGGTTCACAGTTCTCTGTCTGACACCAGCTACACAAACTGATCCAGGGAGGCCACGGAGCCCCCGAGCAGTCGGCTCAGTCGATCTGCCAACAGCAGCAGCCGGGTCCAGTCGTGTATGTTTGTTTTTGTGAGACTAAATGGTTTCATCAGGGAGCTGTAACCATGTGTCCCACCGCTCTGCCTAAAGCATCCTGTACTTCTCACACTGTACTCAGTTAGGTAACAATATGAAACGCTGCAACGCTTCCATTTATGTGGCTGGCAGCTGGTTTGGTAACAGATGAAATCAAGTGTGTGGGAGAAGCTTAAAGGTATTATCTCGTCCAATTTTAGAGTGCAAGGGGATGGCTATTTCCTGAAGGCAGTGCATACCAATTCAGACATACAAACAAAGGGTGCATTCATTTTTGAAGATAGTTGCTTTCACAGTCTAATTGGAGTATTTTGTAAATATTCATGAGTTTTACTTAACTGTGTCATATTTGGAATATTAACTATATTTTTTGCCTTTAAAAATTAAAAACATGAAATGTATTTATAAAAAGTGGTGTTATTTCCTGAACTTCCTACTGTCCCAATGCGACTGTAAGAAGACGACGTTGTACGGAATCTTCATCATATCGTCGTCAAAAAACCTTTCAAAAAAAATTCAAACTTTTATTTCCAAGGTCACCTCTCTCAGGGAGAGTATACAACTCCGACAACATCCACCAGGAACACGGGGCAGTCGAGTTTTGGTCTGAGAGGTAAAACCCAGTGTGAT